TCTGTCCATTTTGACCTCACGTGAGGACACAAACGACTGGCACTGTTTCTTGCTGAACCTATCCACAATGCTTCACTTTTTTCACAGTTAACCTTTAATCCAGTAACCCTCGAAAAACTGTCCAGCAAATCTAGAATTTTACTTAAGGAATGCTCTGAGCCATCTAAGAAAAAAGTTGTGTCGTCTGCAAATTGGTTTATTTTCCATTCCTGTCCACTCACTCTGATACCCTCAATGTCCGCTGACCCTCTCGTAGCTATTCCGAGAGGCTCGACGCATAATAGGAATAGGAAGCAACTCAACGGACAACCTTGACGGAGACCGCGATACAGAGGAAAATAATCAGTTGCGTAGCCATTCACGAGAACGCAAGCGATAGGATCACTTGTTATGGTTGAGATCCAATTACAGAAATTAGGTCCAAATCCGAACTCTTTCATGCACTTTCGAAGAAACCTTCTATCGACAGAGTCATAAGCCTTTTCAAAATCAACAAAGAAAAGTAAACCTGGCCGCTCTTGCGCCTCACAATAATCCATAGCCTCTATAACTAATCTAATATTTTCGCCAATGTATCGGCCGCTCATAAAACCTTTTTGGTCCGGGTGAATCAATAGAGGTAGAACTAGTTTTAACCGCCTAGCCATTACTTTTGCTAAAATTTTGTAGTCTGTATTCAATATTGAGATAGGACGCCAATTGCGGATAAACCTGCAGTCCTTGTCTTTCTTTGGAATTAAAGATATGTATCCTCGTCGCATGTCAAGGGGAAGATGATCAGAACCAAGAAGTTCCTGGAAAACTTTCAAAATCAAACCACTAATATGCTCCCAAAAAACTTTATAGAATTCAGCAGGTAAGCCATCAATCCCGGGTGTCTTACCATTAGGCATTTTAAGCAGGGCTTCATGGATTTCGTGTTTATCCATTTCTCTCTCTAAATGTTTAACTTTTTCCGCGGGCAGACTAGGCATATTAAGGGAAAGAAATGTATCCTGTTCGTGTTCTACTGTGAATGTATTTTCATAAAGAGATTTGTAAAAGGAATATATGTAGTTCCGTATTTCTGCCTGGTCCATAATTATTCGCATGTTATCGTAGAGCTGTAGTATCGATTTCTCTTTTGCTCGCCGGTTCTCTAAAGAGAAAAAGTACTTCGTTGGCCGCTCCCCTTCCTCGACCCATCTAACCCTGGCTCTAACCATCGCCCCTGCAGTTCTTTCACTGATTAATTGGTCGAGTCTATGCCAATTCTCTAACAAGCGGTTTTGGGTTTCCTCGTTATAAGGCCCTTGGGCCTGAAGGTTATGTAGAAACTGAATATTTTAACCATCGCCCCTGCAGTTCGTTCACTGATTAATTGGTCGAGTCTATGCCAATTCTCTAACAAGCGGTTTTGGGTTTCCTCGTTATAAGGCCCTTGGGCCTGAAGGTTATGTAGAAACTGAATATTCTCTGAAACTTCATTAATTTCTACCATGCTTGACTTCTTTTTGTGTGTGGCGTAACTGATGGTTTCGCCTCGAATCCTACTCTTGAGAAATTCCCACAACTGAAAAGGTGAATTTTGTAATAGAGAGTGGTCATTTAATGTTGCAAGAATGAGATCTGTAATTTTTGTCGTAGCCTATGCTTATTCATTCGTATAAACTCATTAATTGTTTCCTCATTTGCATTAATAATTTGCTCCTTCACTTTCAGTAGCGTTTTCCCTGGGTTCACGTTTACTTACTTTTTTAGGTTTCTCTAGTAAACAGCTCGGCTTCTGGCTGGCCATGATTCTTTGAGTGAAATTAATTGCAAACAACGCGATTTCTAGGGTACAAGAAGAATAGAAAGAAGCCGAAGAGGACAGACGAGGAAAGCCATGGACGATCGGCTGGAGCTCCAACTTTCCCCGATACCTGGTCGTCCACCTCCTCGTTCCTCCTTCAGGGAATGCCCCACCCTGCCCCCGCCCTCAACGGACCTCAACAGCTCGATGGAGGTGGGCCTCGAATGGAACTTGACCTTTAAGGAGTTATTTGTTGCATGCGATTTTTGCACGTGCGCCCGTGACTGCAAATAAACTTCAGTGCAACAAACTCCGATTTTATGTTTTAGCAAAAAAAAAATACAAACTGTATACTGTACTACATATAAAAAGAAGTAATTTCATTCTCGATTTGTCTCCCCTGTCGTTGTTGGATTGATTAGCACTGTTTGTGTTGATATTCAATTGCACTCACGAGCTTCCGTGTAAAAATAAAGAACTTGAACTGCTATTAATCGAACTATTTATTCATTCAGCTTGCGTTAATGACCATATCAATTTCCCAGAAAGTTTTACAAAAGATCGAAAAGGGGGAGAAGGATACTCACATTCTGAAACTCATCTGCCTATGCATGCCGTGAACAGGTTGTGGAGAAGTTGATCTGAATTGCATTGCAGGAATGGAAGCTCTGGAGACCGGAGAAGGAAGAGAAATCGCACAGGAGGAGATACCGCTCGTAATACATGGATTCATTTCTGGAGAGTCCGAGAGGCTTCTCATGGCACGACCGGAGAATTGGGTAGAGTACCAGAACAATCCTCATTCGGCACACAAGTAAGCAACACTGTCGAGATGGATTTTCTCGTTCGGAACTCAGTGGCATGCGATCGGAATGAATGAAATCTGAGCGTCTTCTGTCTCGTTCCAGTTATGTGTCGCGGGTTGGAAACGGAAATGACTCGATTATACCTCTAGCCCTCTCTACTGACTTGTCATCCATGGCTACGACTAGGCTTGCCACGTTGACACCCTTTCCTCCATCCTCCAACCGGTCATCCTCTCTTTCACCCTCCAACCGGTCATCTTCTCCTTCACCCTCCATCCGGTCATTGCCTTCTCCAGCCGGTTCTTCATCCTCGACTCCGACGTCCTCTCCTCCACCACCAAGATCAGCCGGAAGGGAACGAGAATCGGGGAGGCAGTGGAGATCGACCACGTTCGAGAGGCACATCCGAGAGACGCGAACCTGGTTCTTTTACGGGGGTCAATACATCAGATCTCATTTTTCTCAGTTTCGTCACCAAGATACCGGCCAGCACTCGTGACAGTTCACGATCGTGAAATTCTTGATATTTCTCATTGATTTTCTCAACATTATTTTATCCCTTTCGACGATCGCACTAACGTAGTCGAGCTCGATCCTGCTATTTTTATCGCTTGATTTGATCTCTATCATGCATGTATCAATTTGTTTGATTACCAATAAAGCTTTTTTATCTGATTTTCACCGTCGTCTCCTCTGAAATTGACAGGGATGGGGAGATGTGGCGTGAGGACGCACATAGTTGGCAGGTGAAGACCCCAACCGGTCTCTCGCACCGGCGGTTTTTCCCAGCATGTGAAAGGGATTATATGCTTCAGGAAAGGACAAAGAATGGAACTGCGACACCTTCGAGCAGTCCGTCTGCGACGGCAAGCCGAATCGATGAAGCTGCAGGAATTTTTTTTTTTCAAGAAAAAGTTTCCTTTGAAAATTTCCATTAAGATTCCATGCAAACGCTGTATTCGAATTTTCCGCAATCTTCGGGTGAGAAAATGTCAGAAATGTATATCCTTTTCCAGCATAATTTTACAAAGACTCGAATTTAAATTCTACAGCGGAATATGCTCGCCATTTTTGCTTCCACTAGACGAGCTTCTTGAATTGAACATCTCGAGGTTGCCCTTTGATTGGTTCTTGCTAGCGAGTACTCGCCTAAAGTTTGAAATCTTTCAAACTCGTAGCGAGTGGTAGCGAGTGGGGTGTTACACTAAGCAAGTGGCCCTAGCGAGCACTCGCCTATTGTAACAGGGTCTTTAGGACTGGAGTCGCACGAGGGAGTTGATAGCAGGCCAATAGAGAAAGCATAGAGTAGAGAGTGTAACTAGAGGTTTCCACTCCGCTCGATTCCCTTTCATTGACAGGGTCATAATATAGATGTCGCTGTCGATCCTCCACCTAGCGGGCGCACATCGATGGGCACGTCTTTTTTCCTAGCGGCTCTGCTAGCTCTGCTGAGGCCTCCAGCATCCCATGACGTCATGTTAAGGCTGAGCTGCTCAGTGCTCCCATAGTTCGCTATGTTCCCGCTGCCGGCTGCTTACCCAAGAGTGACGTCATTCGATGACGTGGTCGTGCCTAGCCAACGCGTCTTTTTCGCTAGCAGCTGCTAGCAGCTGGAGAAAAAGACACACCCAACAACTCTTCCATGGCTGAGCAGCGGACTAGACACGCGTGTTAAGTTGAGGGATCCCTTTGGATCGAATCCCAGAATGAGTCGTTTCCCGATTCCACTGCCACGTAGCACACCGCATGGAAGTGTTGTTGATAACAAGCCACCAGATGTCTTTTATACCCCGGGACTCACGCCCGAGGGACCCTCACGCGGGCACCCACCCAAGATGACCGAGGCACTTTTATCGCTCGAGGCAGCGAAGGCCTCCCCAGAGACATCTATATGCACTCTATGATTTGGCCACTTAACCGACCTTTGCAAAGAAGGGCCTGCGGCGAGAGGCGGGGAGTGGGTGAGACATGCACATTGGGCCTGTTGCCGCTGCATGCGGACTCGAACTTCAAACCCGGTTAACCCGCTAAGAGTGCCGAACGAGGAAACCTTGGTCCTGACGCCCACACTCTCGATCGCGTTCTCCGCTCGGACAAGAGCGCGAAGGACTTTGTCTCGTCTGGAGTCGGCCGACGAGCACGACTGACCCTCGTTTCTCCGTAGGCAGTCACTTGACCGTGTCTATGGTGACCGGTATCCGATTAGTGGCACCTCTGGCACTAAAATTCTGGAGACATCTTTGAGTTTATTCCAGTCGCAAGAGGACCGGCACGAAGCGATTGGGCGACACCGTTTCCTTTTCCCAACAAGCCGAGAACAGAAACAATTCTGAAAACCTGATTGGAGAGAGGGGAAACGGTGTCACATTTGACGCAGACATGCCTGAAGGGGAGGAAAGAGAAGGGAGAGGGAGAGGGAGGGGGGCAGGGGGGTGGAGGAAGAAAAGGGGATTCCAGAAGTGCGGGGCCGTCGCGAAAATCTTTCTCTCCCTTCCGTATCGCAATTCCAAAATGCACTCAAGCCCCACTTATATCACTACAGCAATGTCATTTACCCTCTGAAAGGTACTGCTCGTTTCCAAAAAAATATAAGAAAGTCATTGACAACAACTGGGACTGGGCAAAAGCATCACCGGGTAATTCAAAGACCAACTAACGGTACACGGTCTCAATAACTTTCTCCACGCATTCCATAACTTTTTGCATCTCCTATTTCTCTAAAGCGGCAGACGATTGTATCTCCTTCTCCGCAGTCTTTCTGTCTCTGATCTTCACTCGTCCTTGCTGATACGGGGCAAACCTTAACCCTGACCGCATGCTCTTCCCGCCCCAGAATGTCCACGAGTTCACCCAAATCCGATTCGGCCCTCTCGTCCGTCGGATTTGAGGAACGATTGCGCCAGCTTTCATCGCCATCGTTCGTTCGCTGACGTTTCCCACTACGACGCAGCAGCTCTCTTGGAATCTTGCATTCTCTGCAGACTAGGGGTCGATCAAGTAATGATTTGAACTGTCCCCGAGGACACTCTTCCTCGCATGACTTGTAATCACGTAAAGCAACACTAGCCCACTCTACTGACGTCATCTACGACGAGGCTTGCCACGTCGACACCCTTTTCTCCATCCTCCATCCGGTCATCCTCTCTTTCACCCTCCAACCGGTCATTGCCTCCTTCAGCTGTCCTTCACCCTCGACTCCGACATCCTCTCCTCCACCACCAAGATCAGCCGGAAGGGAACGAGAATCGGGGAGGCAGTGGAGATCGACCACGTCCGAGAGGCACATTCGAGAGACGCGAACCTGATTCTTCTACGGGGATCAATACAACAGATCTCATTTTTCTGTTTCGTCACCAAGAGACCGGCCAGCACCCGTGACAGTACATGACCTCGAAATTCGTATTGATATTTCTCATTTCTTTTATCCCTTTCGACGGCACACTAACGTTGTCGATCTTGATCTTGCTTTATTCGTCGCTTGTTTTCATCTCTCCATGCTTGCATGAATTTGTTTGATTGCCAATAAAACTATTGGCAGACTTCCACCGTCGTCTCCTCTGTAATTGAGAGGGATAGGGAGATGTGATGCGAGGACGCACCTAGGTGACAGGTAAAGAATCCAACCGGTCTCTCTCGCACCGGCGGCTTGTACCGACATATCAAATCTATTCCGGAGTCCGGGATTCGGATGTGATTTGGAGAAATGAATACTGGAGGATGTTCATGAATTTTATGGAATTGCGGATTTTTCCTATTTCATGCGATCATCCATTGGGAAGACGATAAATTTCGTCCTTCGACAAAAATCCCGAATGGTACAAAAAGGCAGCCGTAGATTTCACGACTGAGAAGACGATAATGATCCCCTTTCCTCAATTTCGACCATAAAGATCCCGTTCGGCCGTCAGAATGTTTCATTCTGCAACGGAATTAGAAAATAGTAGAGAGAAGGAATCGAACGCATTGGCCAATGTGAGCCATCATTGTACCAAGAGACAGAAAACTCACAACGCGTCATTCTGTATCACTAGCTGCCAGGAGTGTGTCAATTGCTCTGTGGCGCCATCTATGAGGCGTCGCTAAAACCTCATTGTCCTCTCAGGCTCCCTTACCAGCGCAATCTACGGAGACTGCCAACGGGAGAATGAAACGCTTTTGAATCCTTAAAGCAAGTTTTCCCGCCCGAGGCTGTTGATGCCAGTATACACGTTGAACATATAAGGTCTCTGGAATGAGTTTCCATTTTTACTCAGATTCTCCTACTGGGAATGACAGTAGGACGAGGACGTCGCGAGACTTACGTAAAAACTCTTTCCGAAGAGGGGATTTCGTATTATATCATTGTGAAGAAGCGCGCTGCAAGAGAATGGTCAATATCTGAAGCGACAGTGCGTCGCACTATGCGAGAAGTCTGTGAACGTCGGAAAGATCGACTGCATGGCGGTGAAAACCATGAAAGTCCTGTCCTGAACAAGGACTTCTTCCAGAAAATAGAAGCCTGCGTCAGGCAAGAGAACCCCACCCCCCAATGGCTATTAGCAAAGCAGTATGAAGTGTCTAAGGGAACAATTTTCAATATCATCAGGCAATATTTGAATCTAGAATCGAAGTGGGAGCTACAGGTGCATGCTCTTCGTGAGAAACACATAAGGGTAAGAAGACCAACTACCGAAAGTTACACAAGCGCCATCTGTCGAGGGAAAAGTTCAAATATCTTGTGACTCTAGAATCTAGATGAAGCCTATGTATACCTGAGTGACAGTGGCAAAAACCGGGAAATTATCACATCATCCAGACTTCCAGAATTGGCACAGTTGGTACAAGGAAGTTTTCCGCAGGTTTCATGGTGGTCGGTGTTGTCTGCCACCGTGGAAAATTCAGCCTCCACAGAATGAATCCCAAAATTAGGGTGAATGCAAAGTATTATCAAGAGAATCTGGCACCTCTCCTCCGAGGATAGATCCCTCGCATGTATGGTAGTGATGTTTCAAACTTGGAGCTTTACTAAGACTTCACTTCACCGAGCTTCACTAAGGTGTGAAGCCACCCTCCCAAATCGACAGTTACGTTCCCCCATAATTTAGAGAGTGAGACGGAGTGAAGGCTATATCATTTAGCGACATCCCTGTCAAGGCACCAGATGTAGTTCTGATAGATTTCTGTGTATTTGGGCTTCTCGAGCGAGCGAGACACGCCGACATTCCCTGACAAGGGCAGAGCTCTGGAAAATTGTGAGGGAGGAGTGGGAGAACTTGGACCCGTCTGTTATTCAGAAAGCCCTGGCAGAATGGAAGTTGTGGTGCAGAGCAATAGATGAGAGGAATGGCCATCAAACTGAACATTACCAGAGTTGAAATGAATAAGAACGTTTAAGTTTGACCTCGGCAAAATCGTTTTCATTTTTCTTCGGGTACCCTTCTGTATGCTCGGCTTCTTTGTACAGCTCAGAGCCGGGTGAGGAAATGCGAGGTCATGTCGCTTCAATCGCTGAAAGAGCCGATGCAAGTTTCATTGCGTCTCGTGTCTCCTGATTCCCGCGACTTTCTCAAATCCGCAGAGATCTGGACAAGCGAACAGGCACGCTTTGGAATTTCAGAGGAAACCGAATCTTACTTTTGCAGGCCAAGACGTTTTAAAGGTTTTCGGACGGATGTTGTCATCTCGAGACTCTGACTGGATCGGCCGGAAGCAGCTCGAGACTTCCTCGAAGAATATCAGCTTCAAAACATGGATCTTCATATGGAAGGGCTATTGGGCTCGACTGAACTAAAGGACTAAAGGGCTCTTCCATCTAATATATTTAACTTGAGACTTCCAAGTCTTCCATTCAATTTAAAGCTAATAAGAGTAAATAAAAAAAAATAAATGAAAGACAAAAGAAGACAAAGCCTAGGCCGATCAGAGATATGATGGAACGAAAGACTGGGCCAAGGGTTAGGCCTAAAAGCTTGGCACTACTTTAGCTGATGGGCGTAGGCCACGTACCCGAAGGACACCCGCAGATCCCCTGGACTGGGCCTAACGGCTTTGTACAACTTTAGTTAACAGGCCATGAGCATGCCCTCATAAAACATGAGTCTCATAAGCAAGTCAGACAGCAGGGTGGATGAAGGAAGATGGAAGACTTGTACAGTTGTCGGGTGTCCGGATGGTTACAGGAAGCCCTCAGAAAGATCACAGACGGAAATTCCCTCGAAACTCTCACTCTCAACGTCCCAGGTTGAAGATGGAGTCCAAAAGGAAGAAGAGAGGGAGCTGGCTCAAAATGTCTTGCCGCCGACCAGGCCGATGGAGGAGAGCTACACACCCGCCTAAAACGACTCTGCTCCGGTTGCTCGCCTTGGTTGCTAAGGATAACGTCACAATGTGAGGTCTTATTCGTCTCCAATATCCATTTGCTAAGCAAAACTAATCTTGGGCTAACTTAGAACATATAGTGGAACAATATCTTCATTTTCTTTTATATTAAGAAGGAATAATTGTGAGCTCAACTAACTACCATCACATTTGCACATCTGGCAACCGACTAGTATGAAACAAGGCCTGGCACTACACAAGGAAATAAATGCATGGAATCGCCTAATGGGGAGAAACTCGGTCCTGACCAAGTCAAGCAAAAAAAATTATATGGAACTTCATATATTTTCCCCATATCTTTAAATATATACCCGAAAAAAGGAATGCACGGAACAGAAGAAAATATTTTAAAAAATGATACTCGCAAAAAACTCTTTCCCAATGCCTGCTGAAATCTGACTCTGAAACAACCCTGTTCCAAGACGTGAGTGCCCTCCCCATGCGATAGGAGGTTCGACGTGCTCTCCTCTCGGCCCATCGCAGTATCAGTCCATCTGCGGTGCCCGAGCTGAGTGTCTCCTCCGCTTTTGTGAGTACGAGCCCATCTCCGGGCTTCCAGATATTCCGAAATTTTCATCATTCCGCAGATTCGCTTCTGAGTACTGTTTAGTATGAGCTGCTGCAACAGACCGATTGCATCATCTCCTTCCATGCCGCCATGTTTCGAACGGCGTGGCGTGTTGTGTTACTCGAAGTTGCACCAGACTCGGCATAAGTTGAATAATGTTTTCGACCAGAGGACGAGTGAAACTCCGCATTAACCGAATCGTATGCAATGTAGTGCAATCTTACATAATGTCAGGACCCAATCTTGACAGAAACCATTCTCTGCGTCCACCTCGAACCGGTGAGTCGACATTTCCCTCTTCCCCTTACTTTTGTTTTGTTAGATGAGTAAGAGCTATGTAACCTTTCGGAACTTCGATATTCACGCTTATTTTTTTACATGACATCACTCAGGAGCGCTGACATCACTGGGGAGGTCAAGCACATCAAATATATATTTTCCTGAAATTATTAAAAGAAGGGTGCTTCAAGTAAATAATTTACTGAGTTCCAGTTCTCCTCACGTCAGTCTACAATAAACAATTGAGAGCGAGAAATGGTCTATGCATGCAGATGAATCGATCCACCAACGAGTAATTTTAATCTTTACTGAGGAATGACCTTTAAAGATCATTCCCCGGTCTGCTTGCTTCCGAGAATGGCGGACTTCGAGTGAACAAATTGTGAGAAATGCCAGGGAATTGCCTCTCTTGAATTGCCAGGCTTCATCTCTTCTGCGTCCTTACTTCGAAGGTGGAACATGCCTATAACCAATTTAAATACCATTTACTATGAAAAATTCAACTAGAAGTCCCATGTTACAATAAACAATCCGACATTTAATTTTATTGCATACTTTTATCTTAATATGCTTGTCGCTATAAATGTTTGTCAACGGAATAATATCAACGTAAACATGAGCCCGGCATATCGCTAATAGACAGCCTCGCAGTGTCCAGATATCTCACACTTCTTAAATTGTCAACTTTTTGGAACCCACAGAATTCCAGATGGAAGACGGACTTTGAGCCAAATCATCTAATACTTTCATTCGTCATGAGAAAACAGGAACTGGCCTGGATCCCACCTCCGATAGTCAAGATCGTCCATCCTGTCAAGTGTATCGTCTGCAATGAAGCCGTCGGTTGCCGTCCGTTTCAGAATTCTCTTCTCATTCTTCCTGGTGAGTTATCGGTTAAAATGAACGTAATCAATTATTATTTTTTTTTAAAGGGAATTTTACACATTCTGAATCGTCATGTGACATGCAGCGACTGAGTCATGGTGCATGATGCAAGTAAGCCAAGCGCTTATCTAATGGAACTGCGCAGCATCTGAGCATAGTTCGAAAGATTGTTTCCTCGTAAAGGAATTTATATCTTGTTTGCTCCCCATCGAAACGGGGGCTCGGCATTAGTCATCGGAGTGGGATCCAGAGTGTCCATTCAGGGACTGATGCAACATATCACTGGGTCCTTATGGAAACTAATGGCACCAAAGTCCTTTTCCGAACTCTTTCCGCACCTTCTTTGTGCATGATGGGTTATAATTATGTACCTTTTTAGAAACATATTTAGGACCCACCCTTTGTTGATGAAACAATTATATTCTATTTTTCATGCATGAGTTCCCAACTGAGAAGTTCTTCTCTTCAAATGATGTTACAGCTCCAGAATTCACAGTCGAATGCGAAGCCATTGACCGAGGATATATGCGGACGAGTCTATAATCGAAGGCCTGGAGCGAATAGAAATCCAACCTCATATATGGACTGTGGCCAATGTTTACCAGGGTCAGTCCCTAAATGTATGCATGTTACTGCAATTATTTCATGGCATTGTTCGAGGTACCATCGTTGCATGCAGAAAAAAATTGCAGTCTCCCCTTATCCGTGTCTCCCGTTGCCGTATGCTCACTTGGGAATGCCTGTACCAATGAATACTGACTCCTTGTATCGGTACTATTCAATCCATTTCAGATTCGTAGCAGATTCCTGGAGCGGGAACCGAGAAGCAGAACAATGTATACCGGAATCGATTGGAGAAGGGAAAAAAAGCACGTCCTCGGTGGCAATCGCTTCCGCCAGTGCGGGTGGAGGCGTTCTTGCCGTTCTCATTCTCCTATTTCTCATCATCTGGATCGTGCAATCAAGTGAGTCACTCCGGACCTTCAACAGGACTTTTATATCTTCCCGAGCTCATGAAGCTCTGGATTAGACGAACTTTCTTCCTTGACGTCTCTTCCTTTCCCAACGTGGCAGAGAAGTGTCGAAGGGGCTGCAAGCGGATTTCGCCACAAGAAACTCCTCTCATAAATCCTCCAGGTATTATCTTCCAGAACCATTCCGGACAGGGTGAGCAGGACTTGCGACTCGAGCTGCAGGTAAACTTGTATTCACTACATATTTCCAGGAGATTCCACGGATTGCGCCAGTGAAACTCGAGAAGAATCGGCGTCTCTCGCAGAATCGACAGAAAGTTCCACTCTTGTGGAATCGGAGGAGCCAACCACTCCCAGTAAGTCTGAAGGTGAGTGAGGCTCTCGGTTTCAGTTGAACGAGATGGAACACCTGGGTTATGTCTCGCTTATTTTGCCTTCTGCATTTCCAGGAGAAGCCGAGGATGTAAATAGTGTTTCTCTAACGGTGTCCCGGACGCATCAATTTGCTATCAAGAGCAACTGGGAGGAACTGATTGAGTCCATGGACGTGGAAAGAGTAGAGAACCATATGATCACCAAGGATAAGCTACCATTGCACAAGCGGGAGGAGTTGAACATGGAGAAGGTGAAAAAGAAGAGGCGAAGCGTTCTCCTTCACTACGTTCATGGCACAGATGAGGATGTCTTCCTCGCATTCCAAGATGGGCTCGTCGCCGCAGATCAAGCCCATCTGGCAAAAAAGTTGCATCCCTGAGCGCCGACGCGGGCTTTGCAATGGGCCAGTGCCTTGCCTACGTGATTTCGACGTTTAGTCTCATTTGATTGCAGGCCTCTTTTTTATATGCCATGTACCTGTGATTCTGTTATATCATGATACGTCCACTTCTTGATTCTGTATGCCATCTCTTCTTTTGCTAGAATTTGATCAGTTGATTCGTCTTCTAGATGTCTAATTGACTATATAAAATATATCTCAAGTTCTGAGAAACGAAAATGTTTGTGGCCGGGTTTTTGCCTCCGTAAGCAGAGGGAAAGGCACGGTTTCCAATCAGTGGTCCCATGCTACAGCACTCGTCAAAAGTTCCCCCTCCCCCTCCCTCTCAAACTTTATCAGACGAGCCGATAAAGTGATGATTTTATTGTATTTTTGTACACAAGACACTTCGATCACTTATTTAATATGAAATCACCCTTACTTTCAAACTTTACTTGAGAAACACGAGTTTTCATACTTTGTACAAGTCCATCGGCCTTTCACTCCCGTTCGATTGCCATCGCCAGGGACCGAAAAGTTGTTAATTTTATATGCTATTCCCATAGGTACTATGGGGATACGGCAGATATTGCGAGCGGTCTGTCAGTGTTTCCTTTCCTTTTTTTCATTCAGCCTCTCCGCAGTATCCATAGCAACCAGACAACTCGACTTACTGAGCATGCGCAGGTTTCCCGCCTGGGTCGGAGTGCCAGTCTACCACTAAAGCATCCGCTTTCCTCCCAGCCTGCACAGATGATGGATCCAGAGTAAACAATAGGAGAGTGGGGTTGCTAGTACCCGCGTAGACAGGGTTGCAAGGCGTACGCGCGAAATGCCGCATCCGGCATCCTACACTTCATACGCTCCTCCCACCTCCGTGTGACGCGAACGAGCGAACCATCGAGTTCATTGTCTTGTTGTCTAGGACTTATATGTCTGTCCGGGCCTATGGTGTACCGTATTTCAAAGTTGGATGCGGCGAAGGGAATTATTCCTGAGGTATCGGGACCAATGGAATGGCAGATCTGTACCCGTGTTGGTACTCTGGTTTCTTTTGCAACTGCATGTAGTGCAGCGGTTCCCAAACTCTGGATCGCGACCCACTGGTGGGTCGCGAGAGGCATCAAGGTGGGTCGAGTACATTTTTCCCGTATAAAAAATCACAACATCCGCATTCGCTCAGGATAAAACATGCCTTGCAGAAACGGTCGATCAGTTTTCTTCACTTTATATTAGGTTGTTTCACATGAAATGTCCGATTTTGAAGATGAGATTTAAAAGGCTATATTTTTGACAAATAAAATTTCATTTAATCAAAATATGCTCCATTAGCTTGAATTGTCTTCTCCCATCGAGATACTAAGGAAAATATTCCATTTCTATAAAATTCTACATTTTTTGAATTAACAAACTCCTCAAA